CGTGAGGAGCGCTGGCTTTGGGTGGCACCTGAGTCGGTGTGTCACCTTGGGCAACTTGCTTCATCTCCAAACAAAGGAGGAAGGATAATAGTACTTGCTCCCTTCAGTTGAATGAAATGAAGATTACCTAAAGTGATGAAGTGCTGTGAAGTTGGGGAAATAAAAGTTTTAAAGCATTAAGTAACAGGAATAATTGCAGTAAGTGTAGGGAGGCAGATTACATGTGAGAGATTTGTCACTCTCCATAATTCTCTAATCTTCTCCTCGGTACCGTGCACTGCTCTGTTAGACAGCGTCACCTCTCCTGCCCTTGAGGAATCACTTTTAAAGGAATGAGAAATCCTGCTGGAACACTCATCATTCTGTTGGGGGCAACAAAATAGTTTGTTTTGCTTGTGTTTGTTGCTATCTTCAAAGCTGTGGTGGTCTGTATCACCCAGGAAGGTACCAGGAGGAATGAGCCCCTGTGCCTTCCTGGAGTGTTTTCAGCAAGCCACTGCTTTAATGTGGTGTAATGTACCACCTAGGGCCAACATCAGAAACTACACTGCTATCTGGAACATTTCACTTGCAAAAGAAGTGTGTGTATTTGTGTGTGTATGTTTTTTGTATAAAAATAAAATAAAAATCTGGGTTAAGGAGAAAAGAGGGACCTTCTTAATAATTGTAATGCATTTTAGAAAGTGAAAAACTGACTTTTGTTTCTCAGAAAACATGATTTCAGGCAAAGCTCTATTTTGCAGAAACTTAATAGTGGAGAAAGCCTGTAAATCTCCTTAACAGTCAGCAGAAAAAGAAAAGTTTGGATTATATGGGATTGTCATGGTTTAACCCCAGCTGGCAACTGTGTACTAAGCACCACACAGCCACTTGCTCCCAGCAGGCTGGGGTGGAGAATTGGGAGAGTAGAAGTGAGAACTCCTGGGCTGAGATAAGACAGTGTCATAGGGAGAGCAAAACAAGGAATTCATTCACCACTGCCCAGGGCCAGGCACGTGTCCTTCCATTTCCAGGGCATCGGTGCTCCGTGGTGTGTTACAGTGACTTGGGAACACAAATGCTCTTGCTCCCAAAGTCCCTCTTTGCTTCCTCTTCCCCAGGCTCTACGTACTGATCATGATGCTATATGGTCTGGAATGTCCCTTTGGTCACTTGGGTCAGCTGTCCGGGCTGTGTCCCCTCCCAGCTCCTTGTGCACCCTCAGCCTCCTTGCTGCTGAGGTGAGGAGCAGAATGGCCCTGACTGTGTAAAGACAATTCATCAATCATGAAAATATCCCTGGGTTATCAACACTGTTTTCCTCACTAATCTAAGACATGGCTCCATACTGCCATTGCTACTGTGAAAGAAATTAACTCTATCCCAGCTTTAACAAGCACAGGAATCCTCTTGCTTTATTACAGCTTGAGGAAAACTTTTGCTGAATGTCAATTTTTACCTATAATTTCTGCTGAGTTAAAAATCATTCTTCTGGTAAATGTCTTTCCTGCTGGCTGTCAATGGGCTGATGCTTAGCTGAGGCAGTTGGATGACAGTATGTGCTGCAGTATTTAAAAGTGTCCTCCAAAATTCATCTTCTTACACTGTTTAATTCTGGAGGTCTAAAGCTTTGTAAGATATGAAATAGCAAATTATCCTAGGTTTATGGAGTCTCCTAAGCTCTAAATACTGAGTTTAATAATCAACACCATGAGATAATTAAGTAATCACTCAGCTGGATTTATTAAATGATGCTGCTATTTCAAAACCTAATCACAAAATTAATTTCTGTAAATTATGGTGAAACCCAAGAATGGCAATGGTCAGCAAAAGACATAGGTGGTTCCCTAAGATTTTTCATGCTTGGTGTTATTGGTAGGTGCTAGGATTTTAATTGCAAAGCCCAACAATGTTAAAAATGTATACAGTATAGGGAATGAATGCATAAGCTTTCTTGCCTTGTTACTTTTAAGTATTGAAGCTCATGCCTGAAGTCTCTTGAACAAGGAGCACATTGAGGTGGCCTAGCTATTGACAGTCTATAAGAAGCAGGTAAATGAGGTACTGCCCTCATCAAAATATGGGTAAATTGCATTTGCTCAGGTTTAGCCTTGTTTGCACATACCTGATAACTACTTGTACAAATCCCTAATATAAATACAAATGCTGTCAGTTCTCATCTGATTTTCTCTGTTATGAGCACAGGGGAAGCATTTTAGCTTTCAAAGGAAGATCTGTAAGCATAGGGACAAGCAGAGAGCGAGAACTAACACTTTCCCTCAGTATAAGTCACCCCAGATTGGTCAGGGTGGTCCTTGCACATTATTTCCTAAATCTACATCTCGGGGTGGAGGGGTGTAGTCATGGGGATATTTTTCTTCTGCAGCACTTTATTCTCATCTGTGCCTCTTTCCATCACCCCAAGATCAGTGGAGTTGGTGGGCACCAACCCTAGGGTTAGATAGTATCTACCCAATAGAGGGGAAGGGGAGTTTCCCTTAAATAAAGACTCAGAAAGGTAGGTAGTAAGTCTCCTGTGGTAGATGCAGTGATTTCAGGAGGGCAGAAATTCTGTGTTGGGTCACAGAATCACGCCTCGGTGAGGAGAGGATTCTGTGCTGTGTCATTGGACCAACCATGGTGAGGTTGATCTGCACGTGTGTGAGCCTGGTATTTTCCAAGTGTGGGCATGCTGAGCACATGTTACCCAGCCATCTGCTTGGGGAGTTCTTCTGGCTCCTGGGATAGAGATCTTGCTGGGGGTTGGCTGCTGCCAAATCATTTATTCAGCCTGCTGCTCTCTCCAGGGGAAACCTTAGGGAAGGGAGGAGCTACAGGTGAAGTGTAGGACATACTGTCACAGGAACGACATTGTTACATATCCTTGCATTCTAAGGATCTCACAGCCTCAGAATTCAACTGCATCCCAAGCTGTTTACCTTCTCAAGTAGGGTAAACTTGAGTGGGGAGAGCTTTGGTCTCCTTTGTTCTCATCTTGATGTGACTATCCCAGTGCCCTGGTTACACTCATTGGGATCCTTGTAGCAGCTGCAGTGCTTCAGGCAGGGCCTTTGACTGTTCTGGGATTCAGGCATCAGCAGTAGAAGTAACAGGCAACTCCTCTCTTCTAACAAGTTATTTCTGTTAGGCATGGCTGGTAGCAGATCTGGGAGTCTTGGCTCAGTGAGCACGTCCTGTTCCATCTCCATGCAAGGAGTTTTTGTCCATATGCTGCACCATCTCTCTCAGCTCTTCTTACCCTCTTGCCTTTGGGGAGATGGGCCCTAGAATGGAAGTCATTTGCACGTTCTCACCAGCAGCTCCTTCTCATAAGGGAGTTTAAGTAATATGAATGGTGGAGGTAGATTTTATTTCTTTCTGGGTTGGCTTGTTGGTTTTGCCTTTTTTTCCTCTCTTCTGAGCCTGTAACTCAGGAGCAGTTAATTGAGAACTTTAGCTTTGACTAATATGTTTTACAAACAGTTGCAATGGGTTTGGAGCCTGTAGGGTCAACTGCTGATAACCTGATTGCCTTTAGTTGTGCAACCAGACCCTCAGATATTTCAAAATAAGGGCACCTGGGTGCTGAAGGAATGGAAAGGAATGTGTGCAGAAGTATGTATATACGTGTATGTATGTGTATAGTTCCACAGTTAAGAATTTCTTCAACTGACAGAACCACATCTAGGCACTGAAATAAGTGTCTCTGCATAAGATTTGTGTTTCATGTCTTTGCAAAGGGGAATACTTGGGGAAGTTGTAAATAATTGCAGTTGTCAGCCTCTCTCTATCTTTGCTCTTTAAAGCTACGGAAGAGAAGTGTACCAGCTTTGCTATTCAGAGCATTTCCCTTAGCAGCTGAATCCTGTGGGAGAGTCCTCTTAGAGCAGCTTTTCTCTGCAGTGGACTCTCCTGACAAGATCACAGACAGCATTTGGTCTCTGAGTGTCATGATGAACATCTAGTTGGGTCTATTTTTACTTCTGAAATATGTTGAAAGATGCCATGGTGAGAAGAAGCAGTACAGTAAGATTTGGAAGCAGTCTATACATGGTAATGCTTTTGGGGACAGTATGTGTTTTCCTTCCAGTTTCTGAAATTTCTTATGTATGTAAAACTTGAATTAGCATCAAGAACATAGTCTTGACTATCAATATTTTGATTTTCTCTTTGTGCACCAAAATTGAAATTCTGTGCTTTATAGCTGCTCTGATATGTCCTTTTCAGCTTCAAAATTTTTCAATAAAATAAATTCACTGCGGGAGTTACTGCTACTGCAAACAGTTAATTGAGAAGAAAAATAATGATACACCTTAAGCTATTTTCCCTTATTGACATACTGTTCTTCACCCCTTTATTCCGCCCTGAGTGCTAGTATGATGTCAGAACAGCATTTCAAGGTGTGAGAGGGAAAATATTTTTACCTGAGAAGGTGGTTGGAGAAGTGGGTGGAAACGTGGCTGAAACCTCAGCTGCTTTAACTACTGTTTATGGTGGGAATTGGGCAACTGACAGTTTTGACCAGATTATCCCTGGGTTTAGTGTGTCTGTCACTTCACTGAGATTACAGACGCCAGGTTTTGTTGTGAACTGTTTTGCCGTGCTGTGTAATCGGGATTCTGGCTGGCAGACCTTTGTCAGACCTGCCACCCTTGCTGCTTTGGGAGGTGACAGGTACCTGCTCAGCACACAGGTGCTGAGGTGTCTCCTGTCATCTCCATGCGTTGCCACACACTCTCAGACACCACCAGCTTGCGGCATCCTTACGGCCTGTGGGGCTGGGTGCTGTGGATGACATCTTGGCACTTGCAAAATGGACCACGCTTGACTTGCCTGGGAGCAGAGCTGCTCTTTGCTGATGTTTTGGAAAGAAAGGGGTGGGATGTTGCTTGTTTAGCTACTGGAGACAGCCAGTCCTTAGAAGATGACTGTTGGTAAGAGCTGGTAAGAGTGATAATGAGGCAGAATGGTGATGTGTTCTATTAATTTTTCTTTTTTTGTTGTTTTTTTCCGCATTTCAGGAGGGGTGCTTGTGGCCTTCAGAAAGCTCGGTTTCGCGCCAGGGTGCTTCAGAGGTACTGACAGATTTCTGACTATCTTCACCAAGATTTCTTTTTTTTCCCTGTAATTTGTATTTGGTTCCTTTCAAAAACATGCATCTATTTTTTGTAAAGGAAGCTTTTTCAGTGTAGTTCACACTGTCATCTAAGCCCGCCTTAACACGCATTTCATAAATTCCTGAGACCTTTTCATAATGAAATTCTGCCTACCTGACACCTCATCTCCATCAGCAACTCCTTGTGTCATAGTAGGCATTCACAAGTGATGGAGGTGTGTCTCTCCCACAGTGGCTCAGTAATTTGAGTATTCATTGGAAGCTGGGAGACCAGTTCCCCTTGTCTCTGAACTTTTCTTGGATTTACAACACATATCCTATCACCAGTGTCTCCCTTCTTCCAGCTAGCACAGATTCCTTGTCTATGTAATAATTTGTGGATGTATTGCTCTGAGTGGTCCAGCTGTCCTGTGACAAGCAGCAGAACTTCCTGGTGGTTGGCCCTGCATCGGTGAAGGTCAGGGATGGAAGACCCTGCAGGGATCCAAAAAAGAGAAGAGCAGTTTGATAGCTCTAGATCTGAGAAGCTGCTGTGTCTGTCCAGATCTGGGATAGACCAAGTGAGGAACAGCAGCACCTCACAGAGCATCTTGAAAGCTTCCTTTGTAAAACCTGTCCTTTTCCAGGGTTTTAATATACCAGGGGCATACTTTCCATCACAATGCAGAAGTTTTATAGGTTCTCGCCAGAGGCTGAGTTCTGGCTGAGAACTGAGGGGGAGGAGGACACCTGATACACTCTGATGGTGAAGGTGTGAGATATGCTGAGCCTTTACAAATTGTACTAAAATGACCATCTGAATTCTTTGGGGATGCATTAACTCTGAGTAGGAGGTGGAAGCTCAGACTGCAGCTGAAATTCAGTACTGGGACATTGTTGTAGAACTAATCGATTACCCAGACTAGAGAGAATTAATTTCCTGGTTTCAGAAACAGAATAATTTGTTTTTGCTCAGAATGTTTTAATGTCAGAAGGAGCTGTGTGGGATCTTGGGCTTCCTTTGTGCAGCTGTTCTCGAGTGTCCTGGATCCTTCCTGCACCTCCTGCCTCTTCACCTGCAGGCATGTGGCCGCACATGTGCACGGTATCTGCTGGGTTTAACCAGCAAAAAGAAGCATTCTGTGTTTTATCAGTTTGTTGCGAGGATTGGAGCACCCGCGGCGCTTTGCGCAGAGGTGGAGTCACGCGTGTCTCTCTTCCCGTTTCAGATCATGTACGCCCCAAGGTCCAGGGACAGGTTTACCACCCCATCTTTTATGCAGCGGGACCGTTTCAGTCGCTTCCAGCCCACTTACCCTTACATGCAGCATGAGATTGACCTTCCTCCGACCATCTCCCTCTCGGACGGCGAGGAGCCGCCGCCGTACCAGGGCCCGTGCACCCTGCAGCTCCGGGACCCCGAGCAGCAGATGGAGCTCAACCGGGAATCCGTCAGGGCGCCGCCCAACCGAACCATTTTTGATAGCGACTTGATAGACATCTCTATGTACAATGGGGGTCCCTGCCCACCCAGCAGCAACTCGGGCATAAGTGCAACCAACTATAGCAGTAATGGAAGGATGGAAGGACCACCCCCGACGTACAGCGAGGTCATGGGGCATTACCCAGGCTCCTCTTTTTTCCATCACCAGCACAGCAACATGCCTCCTTCCTCGCAGAGGGGGAGCAGACTTCAGTTTCAGCAGAACAATTCAGAGAGCACAATAGTCCCCAGCAAAGGCCAGGACCGGAAGCCAGGAAACCTGGTCTAAGTTACCTGAGCAGGTGCGTTTGGACTGAAGACAGGAGACCCAAGCAGGGTGGTGGAGGAAGACCCCCGTGCACGGTGTTGTTACGTTTCACGTGGTACAACTGAGTAAAACCAAACGTGCAAACCAGTTCTTTGTTTCTGATTCCTTTCAGGGGAATTGCATGCAAAGCAGATTGAAAGAAATACAAACTTCCATTCAGTTTGTCTATGAGCAGTGTTTCAGGGGAAAGGGGGGGATATATTATTTTTTTTTAATAAACTATTTCAATTATTTAATTCTAAAAGTTAACTTAGCACAGAAATGAGGCTTGTACAGCCTGTTTTATACTCACTGAATGGCAGAAGGAAGAAGGTGGTTTTGCTAGATAAATGGGGGAAGAATTGGCCAGTTTGCTTTTTTTTTTCTCCCAGGGTGTGAATTTTTTTTTAATATGAAACAAAATTCCTGTTCTGTGTGCCAAGGTATAAAGTTGAGAACTTAGATGAATGCAAGGAATTAATTTGTGTTGTGATAAATGTGTTTTAAAAAGTTGCACTATCTTACTGTTTTAAAAAAAATATATATGAGGGAACTGTTTTATGTGAAGTTCTTCTATATGTTGTTGTTTCACCTGTGGAATAATGATAGAGCCCTAGAAGTAATCTGGAGGAGTTTGTCCCCTCCCCCCGGGTTTGCTAAAAGATGGGGACAGGACTTAGCCTAACATCTCTTGACTTCTACAATTCAAAAAATACAGGGACACTTGACTTTGCAATAATTTGCATTCAAATAACAGTGTATCAATGAAGTGTCTTGGAGACTTTTGGATGGAAGAAGGCAAATGTGAAATCCCAGCATTTTCCATCACTTAAGGTTTAGCTGTTTTGCAGTGTAGACTATTTCTTTCATAAATGGCAAAACTACAATTCCCAGATGCGTTGATTTGTATTGATTCTAAGTGCTGCCATTCTTTTCCTTTCCATAATGCAGTGTCACCAGTACTTACTGCTCTAGAGATTTTTGTCCTCACTGTAGCCTGAAATGTATTTAGTCACATATCATGACATTATGCAATAAATCGTTTGAAAATGCAGGGTGGGGTTTTTTCCCCTGCTCTGCTGTTCAAGTACGTGAGGCTGTTGTGGTTTTCGCTTTCCATTTCATCCTTTCAGGTGCTGAAGTTCAGTCCTGGAGGTCCATCCTGTTGAAGTGAAGGGGGCCCTTGTGGCTAAACCCCCCCATGGTGTTTTTGCAGCAGTACCAAGAGCGCTCGTGGCAGCGGTGCCAGGTCCTGCCGCATCCCTGGCAGGGTCATGGGAGCACCAGGAATTCTCCCTGCAAACCATTTTGCTCTGGGCCCTGTTGCAGAAACCCTTCTGGGTGCATGATGTCTGCGTGACGCCAGCAGGACTGTGCTCATGGGTAAAGGTGACTCATGTGTTCACCAAGTGTCTGTAAGCCCTGATTTTTGCTATACTGGCCTGGAGAGTAGTTGGGAAGTGTTACCTGCCTGTGTCGTGGCATGTGGGCTGTTTCTCCACTGGCTGTTCCCTTGTGGAAGCACGCGCGGTGCCAGAACTCAGTTGACAGAAGGTGATAGTGGCATCACAAGCACATGAAAAAGCACAAATTGCACTTAAAATGCATTTTGGAAATGGACTTAAAAGTAAGAATCTTTAGAGTCTTAGCTTGAATAGTTTCTAATATATAGGTGTATGAGGGTGTCATAGACCTTTTCACTTTAAGATCTTTCACTTTTTTCTGTTTTCCTGAGCCTTGTGCTTGGTTGCGGGCAGCAGCTGCTGAGTGCCCCAAGGGCACCGATGCCCTGGTCCCAGGGCTGGAGGCTGGATTTCTGCAGGGCTTCTGTACACGAGGGACTCTGATAACTGAAGTGCATCTTTGATCTATGCAGAGTTTTAATGCCAAAACAGTGTGTGTGAGTGTGTGTGTGTGTGTCTGTGTGCGTGTGTCTTTTGGGCCTCAGTGTAGATTTGTTTTCTTCATAAGTTAATTTGATTTTATTCTAGTTTAGAAAACATTTGTATAACTGTTAGTCTGAATACACAGCCCCATTTGTCTCTGTGATTGTTGTTTTGGTCTGAGTCATGCTGGTAATGCAGAGTAAAGCTGCCTTTTATTGTATGTATTAATTGAAGGGAGAGATAGAGATTGTATGGTGGGGTTCACTTACATTTTTTCCTCTCAGACTCGCAGGACAGGTGTTTAGAAGATGACTAGGTGGCTTTCAGTCAGCTGGGGCTCTCATCACTGTCTGATTCCTGGGAATAAAAGCTGTGAAATTAGATTTTTGCAAAGAACCTACGAGCCTAATTCTTAGTTAAAAACAACAAACAAATAAACAAAACTGAACCAGAGGACAAAGCCAGCAAATGTTGGTTTTGGTCTTCAGTGACTTCTGTCACTTGAGGAGTGAGCCTTTAAGCCAGAGAATGTGTGTGCCTACACAGATACTGTGCTGTTGCCTAAATGAGGATTGTTTAGCCGAGAAGCCTTCAGGTGAGAGCAGCTGGAACTCAGTTGTCATGGCAGAGCACACCTGGACTGGGCCCTGGGCTTGGGCGGGTTGAAGACCAACTTTCCCCATGTACAGATCTCAGCAAAGTGAGCCTTGAAGTTGCCTTCAAAGTCGCCTCTTGGGAACTTTCTTTAAAAACAGCCCTTTGCCATCTTTTACCCTCTCTGCATGCCAGTGGATTTATGCACTTCCCATTAACATTGTCCAGTATGCTGTCTCTTAATTTTTCTTGGCTGAGAAAAATTTTCTGCCTGGAAAATGTAGCCTTTTCCAGTTCTTTAGAAAAGATTTATTTAAAAATAACTTGGTATTTGCTCACCTAATAGTTGCATCTCCTCTTGCATCTTTGTCTTCTCATCCTAGAATCATAGACCAAGCTGAGCTGGAAGGGACCTATCAGGAACATTGAATCCAACTGCTGGCCCTGCACAGAACTGTCCCCAAGAGTCACACCATGTCCTGAGAGCACTGTCCAAATGCTTCTTGAACTCTGTCAGGCTTGGTGCTTGGGGGAGTCTGTTCCAGTGCCCAGCCACCTTCTGGGGAAAGAATAGTTTCCTAATACCCAACCTAAACTGCCCCTGGGACAGCTTCCAGCCATTTCCTTGGATCCTGTCACTGATCAACAGGGTGAGGAGATCAGTGCCTGCCCCTTGTCTTTTCCCCATGAGGAAGTTGTAACTACGCTGAGGTCTCCCCTCAGTCTCCTCTGGGCTGGACAAAGAAAGTAACCTCAGCCACTCCTCATGTGGCTTCCCCTTGGGACCCTTCTTCATCCTCATGGCCCTTCTTTGGACACTCTCTAATGGCTTTAATGTCATGCTCTGCTTTCCCAAATGTAATGTGCTGACTCTCAGCTTCGGGAGTGTAGTGATTAGTTTATTTGCTATAGGTGAGCTTCCAGTCTGCTTTGGGGCCTCTTTTAGCAGTAAATGGGCTATTTTCTGATGGATATTAGTGCTCTCCAGTGGAAAGGCAGTCAACAGTGTAACATTGAAACGCTTTGTTTTTCTATTTTTCTTCCATTGACTTGGTAGAGAATCTGCTCTTGATAACAGAACAGAATGGTAAAAGAAATACCTGAATTAAATAGCACTATCAATCTTTAAAGGCTTAGTGAGTGAGCTCTGAATTGGTGAGCTCTGAAGATAGGTAATTCTATGAAGCATTTATGGAAGACCAGCTTTGAAAATACCCAGAATTGATAGACTGCATTCCAGAGCCACTCAATGAAACTTTGTATAAATTATAAAAGATTTCTGCAAACACTGTAGCGTTAATTGTCTAGATTTTGTCTCCATACTGATCTTCTGGCTTATGTGTCTCATGCATAAAACCCATGTAATATGTGTGTGGTGTTTTCTATGTGATGGATCATATTTGCCTGAATTCTGGTTGCATCTTCTGACTTTGCCCAGTAACTCGTGTTCCCAAAATTCAGTATAGTGATGTTCCTACTTTAGAAATTTTCCAGTTAAAAGATTTTTTTTCTTTTAAATGCACCTTTATGAAATAAAGTTTTGTGACCTCTGTCCTACTGCAAAGACTAATTTTTCCCTTACATGTCTTGGCATGGCTCTTTTCTTGATGATGAATATGCCCCATCTTTGATGTTTTTGTATGATCTTTCAGGGCTAGAAATGCATGGGGTTTAGCAAAGGAAAAAAATGGTTTCTCTCCCAGTTTACCAATGGAGCACTTGGCACTTAGCTCTAATTCTGTACCTATGTCTGGAACAATTGTGGTTGGGCTCCTCGCAGTGCTGGACAGGCAGACTGAGTGAGATGCTGCTTAAAAGGTGTGAGTGAGGGACAGGAAGAGGGGTGCCCAGCCAACAGCGCAGTGTTCAGATCCCTTTCCTGGCATGTGTGGCACGTGCACAATTCACAGGAATTTGCGTAATAGGATGTTTTCATCAGGGAGGATCTAATAATGCTTTTCCTGGTCTTGTCACTGATGAACTCTGCATGTAGGCCAGTCTTGGGCTGATGGGACTTTATTACAGCATGAATTTCCCCTGGGAGTATGAAAACTCAAGCATACACCCCCTGTACAAGTTCCTGATGGCTAGTGAGGAAGATGATTGTGTTCCTGCATTCATGGAATCTGCAGGAGCCATGAGTTAAGCTGTGCTTCATTTGGCCTTTTATTACTGCTTGCCCGTTTCTTACACCAGTTTCTCCCAGCTGGAAGCTGCTTCTGTTATGCCAAATCCCAGAATGTTTTTGTTGCAGATACATTTTTATTAAAAAATGTCATTGAGAGTTCTTGTTTTTTTTCTGTGAATGAGGTGCAGGGAAGGGTAAGGAGCAGAATTGCATTGTTTATTAAGGAATGCACTTTGCAATGGAGAAGCAGTCCTTGTCCTGCTGAAGAGCCCTGTGTGGAGGCTGTCTGGAAGGAACAGTGCTGTCTGAGGCAGTCGTTTCTAACCCTGCCAGGTAGTGAGATATCAGGCCTTAGAACTGACACTCTAATCTGTAAGGAATGTTTGAATGCTTTAGAGAAGATTGATCGCTAACCTTTCTCTGACTCTATCCCTGAACGCTCACGGTAGCTAAGGTAACCTGATTTTGTAGGTTAGGAAAAACAAAATAGTAAGTTGGTAAAAAATAGACATATGTCAATATTTTTCTTTGCCTTTTTTTTCCCCCTCTCCCCAAGGATAAACAATAGGCTTGCTGGCACATTTGAAAGTATTTAGGATTATTCACAGGTTCTCTCTGGTCATTACAGTTAAGTCATGTCCATGCACATACAGACCTGTGTGCAGACTTGTCCCCTTGATTCTGTCTGTATTAGTTTCTATTCCGTGATCACCTTCCAGAAGTGCTAAATGGCTCTGTGTTGTGCTCTCAGTAACAATGGCAGGTCATTTGTCAAACAGCAGGAAGCCTGAGGAATATTTGGTTTTCAGTCTTGTAAATGTCATGACCTATGTTTTTTATCTGTAGGGAGCTTTCTTGCTGCACCTATTCTTGCCTGTGACCTGGTGTGCTCGTGCACCTTCCATCCAACAGCTCTCTCTCCTTCTGGGTGAGCTTTGAGAAATCCCTGTGCTTTGGGATAACCCTAATGCAGAACCTTGTGTATTGATGTACAGGAAGGAAGTAATACTAGTGTACCCTAAATCTCATAAGCATGTTTTTTCAGACCTAGCTGATGATGAGAACCAAGTGATCCTTCTGTGCAGTGGGTTCAGATGAAGTCTGGCTTTTGGTTACATCCTTGCTTTTTAGATAAAGCTGTTGCACATAATTTAATTACACGTCTGCTCTTTCTCTGCACTGTGTTGCCCGCTTGCCAACCAATACAATTACAGCTTTTCTCCTACACTAGCCCCAAATGTGTCAATCATTTCAGTCCCGGGAAAGAGGCAGTCTTGCTTAGTTGTCTGAGACCTGTTGAGGCCTTCTAGAAGGTGGAATAGTCCCTTGTGAGGATGTGTTGAACTTCAAGAGGTTTCCCATCCAAAAACTGGTCTGTATGTTTCATTAGGAAATTCAAGTTTAAGGTTTTGAGAGTATGCTGACTGAAAATGTTGGCAGGATTTTTCTTTTGTAGTTAATATATTGTTTGCTAGCCTAGCCTCACTAATCAGAGATGTAAATTATCTTTTGAGCCACCTCTGATTGCATTTTTGGGCTGGCAAAAAGCCTCGTTGGGCACACTTGCACCAGGAAAAAAAAAAAAAAAAA